TACAGGTTTTGTCCATAGATATTTGGAAAAACAATCAATCACAACCAAGATATATTTATAGCCCTTATTCTCTCGAGAATATTGATCTAATTGAGCAAGATCGGTGGCAAAAGTATCGTCTAAACCATACTGAATAAATCTTCGTCTTTTGAATTTAATACGAGCGGGTTTATGAAGTTCCCTAACGACTTGTTCTCTAGAACCCATCGCTTTGTCTAACGAAATAGTGCTGGTATATGTGTATTTATATTTTATTTTGGGTTAGAATTTTTTTTACTTAATAATAAATCTTCAAGGACACCTTTTACATCACCCAAATCGTTTGATAAATCGTCTATTTTCTGGTTTGTTATTGTCTTAAACGAATCAAGCACTCTCTGATATTGTGCTGCTATATCCGTATCAATGTTCTGTATATCATGCTCAATGTTTGATAGTTAGAATTGATACTATCCAGTTCTAGACGTTTAGCCTTATTGGATTTTTCAATCACCGTATCTGTATAATTCTTTATCGCACTTTCCAGCATATCAAGATCTATATGCAGTTTCTTGACTATCTCATCCTCTAAAGTTCCAAATTTCTTATCCATATCCGTTAGACGTGTTGAAATTTTTGAAAACGTCTCCTGTAAGTCTATCTCTAACGCTTCTAATCTTTCGGCAAGAACACTGTTAAATGCGTTTATTGTTTCCATAGAACGAGCTTGAAATTTTATCTCTTCGCGGACTTTCCCTGCTAGCTCATCAGTATATCGTTTAGTCGATACATCGCTCTCTTCTGTAGGGTCTTCAACATTAGTTATTTTTCGATTTTCAAAATCATAATCTCCTTCAGGTGTGTGGGAAAATTCAGGTTGAGGGTGTACTAACCTTCGCTTGGAAGATAAAGACCATCCGAACTTGTTCATGGTTGAAATAATAATGCTCAAATATCTAGTATAACACTTTATTTATAGGTTCAACTACACCTAGTTCTAACAATTCTTCAAGAATACTCATTATTTCATTCGTATGGTTTCCGTTTCCTGCTGTTTGAGAGGCATCCAGTTTACTTAATCTATCCACCAACTCGTTGACGTCATCATAATAAATATATTCTTTAGGTTTTTCTTATACTCAAGTAGTGCGGATCCAGATTTAGTTTGCGATCTGGTTTTAGGGATTTTCTGTGCTATATTGCTGGCTGATGAATGCCTAAGTCTTGAACCTTCAAGCGAAGCCGAAGATGCAGCTGTAATCAATGGTTTAACGAAATCCCTATATTTCACAGATTTACTACCTCTCAATTGTCCCAATGGACTAAAATCTCTTTTGTGAACGTTGGTTTGCTTCAATATTTTCTGAAATTGAACTCTATCGTTTTCAGTAAAGTGCATAGGTTTCTTTAGAAATAACAATTCATATAAACCACGATTTCCTTTGTAAATAGAATCGCCTACTCGTATATCACCATTTTGAAGAAAATCCACTTTTTCCGTCCCCATTTTCCAAGTTTCAGTTGGTGCATTATGTTGTAAACCATACGTATGATCTATTTCATCGGAATCTATAAAGTACTTATCGATAAATTCATGTGCTATTTTTGGATACTGATCCAAGTAGCTCTTGTACACTTCAGTTTGTTCTAGAATTGATTTTTGAAGATCTTCGTTAGCATCTTTAAATGCTTGTAGTGATTGTACTTCCATAAAAACATTATCATCATCATCATTATCACTGTTTCCAGACTTCTCCGCAATCATTTCAGTCGGCTGGAATTCAACATACTTTTGAGAACTGCGTTCAGGTTTCGGCTGTTTCTTTATCGATGATGGTGGTGTTATCTTTTCCATCTTTACAATTTCCTCTTCCTTGTTCTTTATTGTTCTGTCTGCGAGTTTATTTAAGGGTATAGTTATAGGTCCCAATATTCTATTTAGAGTTTCATCTCCCTCATCACGTTCTAATTTCAAGGCTAGATGTTTTTTTCGTATATGTCTAGCAGCATTTATAATCTTTCTCTGAACTTCTCGCTCATCTTTTGTTAATATTTTAGGCATTTCGAACTCGATCTGTTTCAATCAGGGCCGTTCCAATCAGGTCCGTTCAATCAGGTCCGTTCAATCAGGTCTGTTACAATCGGGTCTGTTTCAATCAGGTCTGTTTCAATCAGGTCTGTTCCAATCGGGTCTGTTTCAATCAGGTCTGTTTCAATCAGGTCTGTTGCAATCGGATCGTCTGATACTAGGTGTATCCTCGATCAAGGACTCTTACATACTAACCATTAAACTATGTTTATGGTATTTATATAGGTATTAAATCTGCTTCGGTAACGACCTTTGTGAATATCACAGTCTTTAACAATAACAAGAAATCCATATTTGTCTTTCCAACATTCAGAACATATATCCTTAAACATGTTTATCGACATGTCTGTATTTACGTGATCATCATACACATGCCTAAGATTAGTATCATCTTGCTTGAAAAGTATCAACATATTAGCATTATCTCGAACCAATTGTTTAGGGATCTTTGAATAGGTCTGACAGAGGTAAAACGAGTCGATTGCATTGTGACGACCCATGCAAAAATAATTTCTAATTTTATCTTGTTTCTCACAAGCTACATCATCGAATATGAAGACAGAGTCGGGTTTGGCGTTTACGGGATCCAATACACTATCGTTATCGCTGTATCCGTAGTAATTAACACCTTTAATACGATCCAAAACCTGTTGCAAAAATGTGTATTTGTCTTGAAAGAGAGACTTTGAGTAAACATACACGTTCTCAAACCGAAGTCCGTTTGGATCTGTTAAAAGACTTAACATCACATTCGTTTTTCCTGAATTACTGGGGCCACAGATTATAGCCCTTATAGTATTTGGTAATAGATCGCTATGTCGATTTCTAGCATCACCCTGTGCGATATCGAAATTACAAACATCAATATCGATTTTCTGTTTAACTTTTCTCATTTTTTTTTTCACATATATACGATGTTTATTCGATCACGTCTTCAGTTGTAATGAGAACGTCAAAGGGTAAAGGTCTCTTAAATAGGGCTATCAATAAATTACCATTTGAACTTCATTTACCTGGTTACCAGTATTGTGGTCCGGGAACAAAGCTTGCTAAACGATTAGCTAGAGGAGATCCAGGCATAAACGAATTAGATCGAGCGTGTAAGGAGCACGATATCGCATACTCGAAAGAAAAGGATTTGAATCGACGACATCAAGCCGATAAAGTGTTGGAGGAAAAAGCGTGGGAAAGAGTTAAAGCTTTGGATTCTAATATCGGAGAAAAAAGTGCTGCGTGGCTTGTTACAAACGCAATGAAAACAAAACGAAAGCTTGGTATGGGTGTTAAACGAAAACCCTTCAAATCTTTTATTGTTAATAAAGTGAAGAGACATATTAAACATTATGGTAATGGCACCCTCAAGGATAATATTAAACTAGCACTGAGAGCAGCTCGCATGAGTGTTAAACAAGCTGGTGGTAGAAGAAAAGTTAAAGTACCTAGAGTTATCCCAGTACCTAAAGTCGGAGGAATTTTACCTCTTATTCCGCTCTTCGCAGGCCTAAGTGCTTTGGGAGCTCTTACCGGAGGCGCTGCTTCTGTCGCTAAAGCTGTTCAAGATAGCCGAGCGGCAAGAGATAAATTAAAGGAATCTCAACGACATAACGAAACCATGGAAGCCATTGCGTTGGGTAAAAGAGGAAGCGGATTATACCTTGCCAAACACAAGACAGGATATGGATTATTTCTTCAGAAGCAATTGCCAAAAAACTACCAATAAAGCTACCCAATCGACCTTTGTCTAACCTAGATATACAGAAATATGTAAAGAAATTAAAAATTGTCAACTTCAGAGGAGTATTTATGCGAAATGCTCTACCACAAACACCTAGAACGAACGAGTGCGGTGTTGTAAATTTGGACGAGATTGAAGGAGATGGAACTCATTGGGTAGCATATAGAAAAACAAGGGATAAAGTTGTGTATTTTGATAGTTTTGGAAATTTAAACCCACCAAAAGAAATTGTTCGATATTTCAAGAAATGTAAAATATATTATAATTACGACAGTATCAAACATATAATACTTATAATTGTGGTCATCTTGCATTGTCCTTTCTCTATAATAATAAATAGTTATAAAAGAACATGTGTTTTAATTTCACGCTCAGTCATGTCTCAGACATTCACACTGAAAGGTCGTTCTAGCTGTTTAAGCGTGGATATTAATCCTCAATAGAACTCGATTCTAGATACAGTTATTCTCTAGCTCTGATATCTCTCAGTACCTGGAATTCAATACCGAATATCGAACCAGGTCGAAATAAGTTTCATTATTCTGTAGACGGTATAAAGCAAATAATTGAAATTCCAACAGGATCTTACGAGATTACCGACATTGAAGAGTATTTGCAAAAAGAGCTAAGTTCTAAGAATAAAACCGTTATAAAGTTACACCCTAATAATAATACACTAAAGTGTGAAATAAAGTGTATCTACGATATAGATTTTCAACCTGAAGATAGTATTGGAAAAATATTAGGATTTTCACCGCAAGTTTTAGCTGCCAACAAATTGCACAAATCAGATATACCTGCGGAAATTTTTCCTGTGGTAACAATACGTACCGAGTGCAATATCATATCTGGATCGTATTACATTAATAATCCATCTCATACACTGTACGAGTTTAGTCCAAGCGTAGATCCTGGCTATAGTATAATTATCGAACCCAGGAATCTAATCTATCTCCCAGTAAATAGAAATTTTATTGATAACATTACATTGGATATATTAGATCAGGAATCAAGACCCGTCAACTTTAGAGGTGAAGACATTGTTATACGTTTGGAGCTTAAAAAGAATGGGTTTAACTTTTAAACCTTACTATTTAAATACCAGCTCACAGAGCAATCAATCAGTTAGTACTTGTACACCACAGCAGACGCTCACGTCCAAGAGCATACTTCAGCTTCACCATATTATCAGTAAATATGGACTCCGTATCAGAAAAACTACAAATATTCCAACCGGTCAACGTAGATGAATCCATTGCTCGAGAAGAATGGCATACGTATCACCCGTTCACCAAATCATTTAAGAACAGCGATGAGATAGAAATTGTTATTAATCAGCAGGATGTGTTTATGGATATTAGCCAGGCTGAATTATACATTGAGGCCAAATTTTTGGAAGAAGTATCGACAGTTGTGAAAACAGGAAAATGTTCCCTGACAAATAACGTTGGAGCATTTCTATTTGAATCGATAACGTATGAATTGAATGGAAAAGTAATCGATAAAGTACGAGATCCAGGGCTTATAAGTACCGTTAAAAGTCTTTTGTGTCTCAATCAAAATGAAAGTACTGCCCTTGATGTGGCGGGATGGAATTGGCCGAACGGTACTGTGAAATCATATGAACCACAAACGGATAATTTCAGTCTCCTAATACCATTGAATTTCCTATTGAACGTCTTCTCCGATTATACTAGCGCTATTATGGGAACGCAGAAATTAAAGCTTGTACGTGCCAAAAAAGATGATAATTGTTATGTTAATTCAGAGGGAAACAAGAAAGCAGACATCACCATTTTGAATATCGAGTTAAGAGTAAAACATATCTACCCGAACGATTCTGTGAAATTAAAATTGTTTGAAGCAATTTCCAAGGACAAACCGGTATTTATTGGATTTAGGAAATGGGAAATTCATGAACTACCTGCTCTACGACAAGCGAGAAAAGATGTATGGACAGTGAAGGCAGCATCTGAACGAGCGAGATATGTTGTTGTATTCTTCCAAGAAGATCGAAAAGATAACTATAAAGCTGATGGCACATATTTCGATAATTTGAAAATTACAGATGTCAAGCTTTATCTAAATTCCGAGGCCTACCATATGAATCCCTAGATTTAAATTTCAAAACCAGACAGTTTACTAAAGCCTATTCCATGTATACGGATTTTCAAAAATCGTATTTGGGAAAGATCAATAGCGAACCTTTGCTAGATTTTACCGCTTTTGCCAGTCGAGCCCTATTTGTAATTGATTGTTCAAAACAAAACGAGGCTCTGAAAAGTAATGTGATAGATGTAAAGCTAGAATTTGAGAGTTCGGAAAATTTCCCCGAAAACACCCGAGCATTTTGTATCATCATATACGATCGAGTCATGGAATATTTACCTTTATCAGGACATGTTAGAACGCTAATTTAATCAGTTGCTGCAAGACATTGATACGATGAAGTTCGTTGTTATAGACGTACAAGGATTTCCCATCCCCGAATTTGAGGTTAAGGAATTATCCATATACGATGGAAAAGAAATGAAAACCTATACGTTTAAACCGAAGATTTGTTACAACCATCTGCCGATACACCATAAGAAGACGATAAATTATATATTTCACAATGTTCATGGAATCCCTTATAATTCAGGGTATTTACCCTATAAGGCGATGTATAACATAATACAGGAGGAATTGGAAGGTGTCGATATGGTTTTCGTTAAAGGATCTATTAAAAAGGAATTTCTGCTGCGCACATACAACGAAATGAATCTTGATCCACCCTGTATAGTGAACTTGGAATTTACTTCTGGACCTGTACCGAAATTAGAACAATCATACAGTAATATTTGTAATTATCATAGACTAGAAATATGTTCTTGTACTGTAAATAATGCTCATGTATTATATGATTATATTATAAACCTTTTAACACAATAAATTTAAATCTATTAATATCTAGTATTTTTTTTACTTATTAGCTCATTTTATTGTAAACCATTGTCTTGTTCACATCGCTCTCATCATCAAATCGTTATGGATAAATCAAGTGTATTAGAACCAATAATTAATGTAGCATTAAACATTTCCGAGAACCTGGCAGAAAAGCAAATTATTTTCCAAAGTACAAACAAGAAGAAGAAGAAGATTCAAATGTCTTATGAAGGTTTTTCAACGTTTCTGGACTTTGTTGATGAAAACGTTAATAGTGGTTGGTGTGATAAATCTATGAAATTGATGGGCATTTAAACATAACTTATGCTTTTGAAGAAGAAGTGAAAGTGCTGATAATTCAAGATAGGAAATGGAAAACTTATATTGATTGGGAGGATGATTGTATATTGTTATTTAAATACTGTTTACCTATTTTTTATAATTTACTAGATGAGAGAAATGTGGAAAATAAATACACAGTGAAATGAAAAAAAATGTTTTATTTAGAATACTCTAAATATTTTTTTTTATAAAATCAGTCTTGTACAATATAAAAAAGTTTGAAAAATGTTTTTCAGTACTGTTAAATACATGTGTAAAATAAATATATAATTGAAAAGCTTAAATCAAACAGTAGACATAGTATAAAACGTCTAATTTTTGTATACAATATAAATATGTTAAATATAGTAAGATAAAATATATTGAATATAATACTCTAAATAGAATACACTAAAAATACAAAAATAAAATTGACCCATCCTCTTAAACATGAAAGTAACTAAATCTTAATAAATAAATAAATAAAAAAATAAATAAAAAATCGAAGGAAATAGAAGTAAAAAATAGCTGCCATTGGTTTCAACCTATAGATTTTCCGATATTTCATCCGTATATTTTCCTAGATCTTTGTGGCCCCATGCGAGCGTGTACTCGGAATTGGGAATAAGAAATCTCTTAATCGTCCGCGTAGGATAAGACTATCTTATTTTTTAGCTCTACATACATATTGTGTAAATGTGAACGGAAAGTATTCATCGAGCGATAGATTTTCGTACCTGCTACATCGACCGTGTTTTTATAATCATCCAAACTAATATCTTGTTTGGTGATGTAGTCAGGCACGCCTTTGGCCTTTTTCGTTAACTCACCATCCACATTTACACAATATGCTTTAGCCCCAGTTCCATAAAACTCCCACAAAATTTTTCCTGCATATTCATCCTTCATACGGCCCAACACAGACGAATTTACAGGAATATTATGTGGGTTGTTTTGCCAGTAATTTGACGTATCGAATCTATCTAAATTTTCGCGCATGTCATCATAAAAATTATCGGTTTGAATTTGTAATATTAGAGAATCGGTGTCAGTGTAGAGTAGTGAAGCTTTATTACCGTACTTTGGTTTAATATAGCTATACAAAAAATCATACATAATAGTTTTGGAAATTTCCAAAATTGAAAAGCCTACGTAAATAGGTTTATTATATACGATTTTCTGTTTAGCCATATGTATTGCGACTAAATTCTCGCTAAAAATCGTCAAGTCTTTAAAATGCGGTTTGGAAATGTACGCTTCTGCCCTAGCTTTCTACCAATATTTTCCCAGTGGGTAACTAACTTAATATTTACCCGTTTCTCCACGTTCTCCATTGTTTTTCCAAATACGGCGTTATTCATAAGTTTGAAAAAATCTTTTTCAAACTTATTTTCAGCGTTATTACGCTTTGCTGTATTTAGATCAATGTAGGTTTTCAACCAGGGAGATTGATTAAATGATAAAATGCGATGAATTTTGGCAAGTTTCAGACCATGGTTCAACGCTTGTTGTAAATTTTGATAATGAATTACATATCTAACTTTAGAATTAAAATTGGGGATTAATTTTGAAACTTTAGATCCCTCTGGTTGAACGGACTCTGGGCAAAAGGGTAATTCGTTGTGTAAATCATGTAAATGCTCCGGATACTCTAAATCGACTTCAAAAACATAACCTATATTAGAATTTTTATCGATATTCATAAAATTTAAGTTTGAAATTTCTTCTTCTGTTAGCCACGTAAAGTTACCTGTTGGTAGATATTGCGACATGGCTGCACCATATAAATTGGTAGCATCCAAGTACATAATGTAGGAAGTAGGTTTGGAAGCGTCGTATATAGACATAAATTTGTTATTCGCGATAGCTTTTCTAACACTACATTGACTGACACCGCCGCGAATCCCGTGTTTAAAGAAATGTATCATGTCTAGATCTGTCAATAATTTCAGCTCGATAGATGTAGTTTTTAAAGCCGCGTCAAAGGACAGAGATGGTGCGGTGAAGTATTGACAAGGATCTAGACCGTATGTTTGTAGACACACCTCTCTAAAATTCTCAAAAACATCAGTTAATAATAGTACGTCGGATTTTAAATATATATCTGAATATTCGCCTAAAGTTTGACATTTAAATAAATTCCATACGTTCAATGCACGCTCGTAATCTCCTTGTTTGATGGCTTCTTTTCTAAGCTCGTTATAGAAACCATCAATGGGTGGAAGCTTGGTATCGTCTAATTTGGAAAAAGAATCTACGTACGAATATGGGAAAACACCCTTCATACGAATAACCTTAAATTCTTCTTCGTTAGGGAAATACTTTCTAACCTCGCGACACTGCTGTGATGTTAAATTTTGACTTAGTTTATCCAGGCTGGAGGCCATAAATCGAAAACTATCCAAAAATCTTAATTTTAAAAATAACTTTTGTTGTCGCTTTTCCTAGTTATTGTCGTCATCCCCCACCATAATATATTTTGTAAAAGAAATATATCTTTCTTTGTTTTGGGGAATGACGTCCAATCGTTCTTCCTCCACAGCCAATTCTTTTATAAAAAGATGACTGTCAAAATTTGACATGTTGTGGAAGAACACAGGAATGAAATTAGGTACTTTAAAATTTAGATTACAAACAGAGTGAGCCGCACCTCGATAATTTCCTGTCAGATGACAGTGGTCCCTTACTCTGTCATCTTCCACATTAAAAGGAGATTCACAAATATGACAGTGTGTCATCTGATAAAACTCGGCTTCTTGTACACTACTGAGAGGAGACATGGATACAATATTTTTCATAAATCGATTGTAGATTGATTTACAATCAGTCTCTAACCAATCTATGAAAACTTTATGTGCATCAGGTCCTCTAAAAGTCTTGAAAATCGACTTAGAATTATCAAAATCGCATTTAATGTAATAGGCAAAAGAATAAGGAACGTGTTGGTGTGTTTTCACCGTATAGGAAATTTCAGGATCCAGCTCGTTTTGCTCTGTTTGTATATGTTCCAAAATAGTTTCAAAATCAGCGTATACAACAAAAGGTACTTTTAATTTTCGTTCGAAATTCGTAAATTTAAGGATATTCTCGGGAATGTTTTCACCATATTTATTTTTCTTTAAATTAACCGAAGGAGTTTCAACTACAACATGACCACAATCGTATTTTTGATGATTTTCTAATTTAATATCTGAAGGAAAATAAACCAAGCAACCATCACACAAGTATTTAGCAACTTTTTAGCAGAAAGCTGTTGTGAGATTAGGCGAGACATATTTCTTATTAAACAATAATGATTATTGCCAGAATCATCACTGATTAATAACAAATTCACATGTCTATCTGCCTTATGAGATCTAGTAAAATACAAAGGACCAACAACTTCAATAATATTCCTATCATGTTTATAACCCTTCTCGAGTCCATAAACATTAATAGAAATATTATTGAGTTGTTCGAATTTTGAAATTTGTTTTAAGGATATCGGAAAATCTATACCTGTCACATCCAATTCCTGCTCAAATGAGTGGTAATTCAGGACTCTGTTAGCGTTCTGAGTCCAATGAACTGGGTGAAAGGCGGCTAAAACCGACCATACAAAACATTTCTGGTCAGTGTTTTGTATGTTCAACACAGCCCTTTTCGCTTCTATTTCCTTCGGTAATGGTATATAAGATGAGGCTTTTAGTGGGTTGATTTTATTTACCCTTACATCTACGTGAAGGAGTTGCTGAAGAGTCCAACCTAATGTATACGAAAAAATAATTAGTATGGTGAAATCAGAAAAAATTATATACTTACCACTATCTTTTTCATTGAACTCCTGGAATCTCCGCTTAATGATAGTGGTGAACTGATCAAACAACTCCTCCAAATCGGTGCCCTGACTTGCTCCCCTGAACCTAGAGCCAAAGGACTTGGTCTCCTCTACCTCCTTTGTCTGCAGGAGGAAACGACCGAAAAGCTCCATACCGACTTTCACATTGCCAAATCTTTCGATTTGGCACCTTACCAACGCAATAATTTTTTCGCGGAGATTAGCTAAAAAATCATTAACGCTGATAGGATCTTTTTTCGATAAAAGTCGGTATGTAGCAATTCGGTTTTTGTAAGAGGTATTAACTAAGTAAACACCTTCCTCCTGCATTACCAAGTGTTCTAAAAAATACATTTTAATTTAAAAGGTGTATAAAAAAATAATAATAACTTACCGTTATTGAAACCAAGTCTAGCTCTCTTTGGCACCGAAGACTCTGGCTCTACCTGATTGACTAAAAGAAAAAAAAATATTTAATATAAAATAGATGCTTTCTGTTAAAAAATAATAGAAATATATGTTAAATAGTTAATTAGTTTTAAATAATTGAAAAAAGTTAAAAAATAATAGTTGAATATGTTAAAAATAATTAAATAGTTAGTTAGTTTAAAAATAATGGAAAAAGTTAAAAAATAATAGAAAAATATGTTAAAAAAATAATTAAATAGTTAATTAATTTAAAAGTAATGAAAAAACAAATAATTACTTACTGTTAGTGGCAGAGCTCGTCCTTTTTAGGGAGGTCTTCTCTAAATTTTTTGGTTCAGGCTGATTGACTAAAATAGAAAAACCATTTAATATAAAATAAAAAATAAAATAAAAACTCACCATTAGGGGCTCCTTTACAAATCTTCATATGCCTGCCTAAACTATCACTTCTGCTAAAGGATTTCAAACATTTTTGGCACATATCTAAAATAAAAAAGCATTTTTTAAAGCCAGAACATAAAATAAAAATATTTACTTACGTTTACTAAGGCTAGCACCCTCGTCCACGCTGGTTTGGGGCGTGGCAGTTTGGATTTCATTGGCTAAAAAAATAGAAAAAACATTTAATATTGCACAATATAAAAAATAAAATAAAAAACTCACCATTACAAGTCTTCGCATGTCTTGTCAAATTCCTTTTATAGGAAAACAATTCCCCACAAGTGCTGCACAGAAACATTTTTTTTTTATTTTTCACAGTGAAACGACTAATTTCGACGAGAGGCAAGTAGAGACTGACGTGAATTGCGAGTTGTTTGCTGGTACAATGCTAGGCCGGAAACGGAAACGGAAACCGCAATCTAGAAAAACAAACGCGTGATATCATAGTCGTCATACCGGAAGCTGCAAAGTCCGATTAAAAATAATACCGACCGCAAACTCCGATAAGGAATAAATGTTGCACAATGTATTTTTCACCAAGTTTGATTTATTTTATTTTACTTAAATATTCATCACAATGATTCATCTTCTAGAAAAACAAAAGCATGACATCATGAGAGGAAGCCGTAAAGATTGAAGTATTAGATCATTTTACTGTAAACCATTGTCTTGTTCACATCGCTCTCATCATATCGTTATGGATAAATCAAGTTTGATTTATTTTTACCGTTTAAATAAATATTATTATTATTTATGAATACCCAAAAGGCATTATTAATTAAAACTCAATCGTCAAACGTTAAAATTATCATCTGTGTTAAAACATGGAAAGATTTTTTTTTTGGAATATATACCGGGTGTGAAAAAACAATCTATGATGTAAAGCGTTTGTTTTTCATTAACACCTTGTATATAATAGGTATGACGTAAGACAGGTTTGACGTTTGACGTTTGATAGATGACGTAAGACAGGTTTGACGTTTGACATTTGACAGATGACGTAAGACAGGCTTGACATTTGACGTTTGACGTTTGACAGATGACGTTTGACAGGTGCCCCTCCTCCTCGCGCTTGCGCTGTACCCCCTCCTCCTCACGCCTGCGCTGTACCCCTCCTCCTCGCGATTTGACGTTTGACGTTTGACATATGACGTTTGACGTTTGACAGATGACGTAAGACAAGTTTGACGTTTGACATATGACGTTTGACGTTTGACAGATGACAAGTTTGACGTTTGACGTTTGACATATGACGTTTGACATTTGACAGCTCCCCTCCTCCTCGCGCCTGCGCTGTACCCCCACTCCTCGCGCATGCGCTGTACCCCCACTCCTTGCGCATGCGCCGTGCGCTCTGCTCCACTGCTCCACTGATGGTGAAACCCCCTTCTACCTCTACTAAGCAACTTCCTGCATTTATTGTTACATCAATATAATTATTCAATATGATTATCATTTACCTGTGTGCTGCTATTCTACAGATACTCCAGTTTTTGGTATCATATACAAGATAGTTTAGAAACTTTATTTGTGGCTAATACAACTCTCTGGCCATAATCTCTGGCGAACTGTCTCTGGGCACCGAATATTAACTGTAAATTATGGTCTGGGTCACCACCAAGTCACCACTTCCGTTTGGTTAGGTTATTTTACATTGTCAACGTTGCCAACGTTTGAGTTTTCCTCCACTTAATGTTAAAAAAACACGAAATACGTAATAACACAGTCCAAAATGCAAAATATTTATCATTTCTATTTGAACATAATTTGACACACAAAATTATAACCTATAATTTGGCAAGAGTTTGACAACTCTCAAAAATCTTAAGTCGAGTTCATACGCATCGGCGTCCGTTCATAATAATAACTAATATTGAAATATGATCTGTCATTTTTGCAGTAAACCAATAAAACTGGTTAAAAACAACAAGAGATGACGCATGACGGATTCATATATAATAAACCCATCTATAGTTAACTTAAAAAATATTAGAAACTTTTTTTAGTTAAATAAATGGATTGGTATGGACGTCATCTGCTTTTTTTCTGTCATCGTCTGTAGCTATGTCACCTCGTCTGTGTCACCTTTTTTCTGTCATCGTCTGTAGCTTGTCATCAATCGTGCTGAAGCCTGTTCTGAATCTTAATTGTTCCTGTGATATGGTCGGTGGTTTACAGACAATTATGGATAAGCGATAATGGATTTTACCTATCGATAAGTTATTGCAATTTAACTATTTGTATATCTTAGTTATTGATATGTCGATAATAATTATTATTGATAACTATCGATAGTTTGTACTACCGATTTTCTTTGACATTTAACTATTCTATGTATCTTCCATATTATATTTTCAATATATCGAAAAAATTTATCCTATAACTAAAATATTAAAGAAAACTGAAAATATACATTTTATACAATAATTTTGTAATGTTTAACTAATATTCCGGTTTTTAAAAAGATAAATAAAAATATACACCCAAAATAAATTACGATATATCGATAGTTATCAATAACAGATGCTTGTGAAAATGCTGTTAATACATCGATAGGTAACAATATATCGACAGGTATCGATAATTTTAAAGTTACTTTTTGTTATTATTTGGGGGATTGGAACATTTGGTGTTACAACAAAAAAAAATAAAACACTAATTCACCACAATACGCTAAAAAACTTTACTTTTGCACTGGAC